ACAACCCGCCGCCTCCCGCGCTATAAATTCGTGCAACCCTCTCCTCTCTCTCTCTTTGATCTCGGCTGCAATGCTGCGCGAGCTATGCGCGAAAATCCGCAGCGCCGAACAGGCTCGACGAGCCCAAGGACGGGCGGAGTGACGACGTGGGGTGGACCCGCGGTAGTCTCAGGGCGAAGCAGTCGGAGGGACTGAGCAGTGGTGGGGATTGGACGCCGGCCGCGACAGGGCCTTGTGGCTATGGTGGTCAGTGGTCTTGGGAGGTTTGAAGGCTGCGCCTGGGGGCAACAGTTAATTGAAATTTTTGTGTACAAGAAGGACTCGCTTTTATCTCCATTGTTGCTTTGTCTATGCATGTCGTGTGTGTGAAGCCCCGAGTGATGGGAGCTGGTTGTGCTCATGAGTGATGTCGAAGGTCTATGGATGATTAGATGTCTTGTCAAGGGTTGTTGATTGCATGCATGTATGTGTGTACGTACTTGTCCGGGCGGGGACGGGGGAACTGAACTGGGGGACCGTCTGCTTAGGAGTACGAGTGCATTGATCCTGTTGTTCCCCTCCCCTCCGCGGCCTTTCCTGCGCGCACGCGCAGTCTCGGCGTAACTCACTCTCTCTCTCGATCGCCTTCCTTTTTGAACTGATAGTCATCGCTTTTGAACTTCTCGTCCCTGTCCCGGTGACGTCAACCGCCTGCGTTGGTGCGGACGGTCGACGCCCCCGCAAGGGGAGAGAGCTTAGATTTCGTCATCTTCCCCCGACGCACCCACTTTTGAGAGAGAAGAGTTGCGTCGAGTGTTGTATGGAGTCGGTGTTGGTTCGGATGACCAAGAGCGCGGGATCTTGCCCATGTTCATCGCGTACCTCCGATCGTCTCATCTCGCTACCGACCTTCCCCATCACAGATGACGACGGCGTCTACTGCGATGCGGACGTACGGCGCGCGCTGAGGCGGACGGAGCAAGTGTGTTGGCAAGACCCGCCTCGGGCTTGTGATATAAGGGGGAACGGGTTTGTCTTGATTGATCGTTTTGATTCCCCGACTCTAATATTGCCCTATACGGGATTAAGTGTGTTGCCCTGGTCGGCCGCTCACGCCGCGTGGCGGCTGCGGTTTGATTGTCACTGGTGTCGCCAGGGGGACTCGTGTTCTTGGCGACGCTTGGTCCTGGGTTACTAGGGAGCGACACGTTTCCCCGAGCTCTCCCGTAATGCGGGGGGGTTGCCCGCGCAATTTCGAATTCGGATGCCAGCGAGTCCTCCCGCCGCTTCACCCTCTCGGAAACTTCCGCGCGGACTTTGCGAGTCCGACGCCGAGGCTTGAAGACCTCGAGCCAACCACTTCTACAGCAAAAACCCGATGGTCCGGTCACTTCACGAGGCCGATGACGAGGCTTGAAGGCTTCGAACCCACTACCTATCCCTCAAACCCATGACGGTCGGAGTTTCTGTCTTCCGCCGCCATGGCCCTCTCCCCTTGATGCCCTTTCCCGTCCCGATGCACGACGGTAGTTCGCTTTTGCGGAAACCCTTCTGATTTTATCGCTCCAAAGTGATCCGACCCCCACGGGACTTCGCGACGACAGTTCGACTCCGGGGTAACCTCTGGCACGAAACGAGAGCCTCCCGTTCCGTCCGGGAGACTCAACCCCTACGGCCAAAAATCCTCGGCCACGCCCCTCTTAGAACTCTGATCGGCGACCCAGTACGGGAAGCTGCGAGGGGGCGTGAGGTTGCGTATCACAAGCGAGCCTACTATGCCTCATAACTTTCAGGGCAGTCCCAGTCAATCTATGGCTATCACAAAGAAGAAGAAAAGAAGAGAGAGCAGAACAAGTGGCATGGTGCAGGATATGCAATTCACAAACCGACGAATCCCTCAACCACTGCTTTATTGACTGCGTAAGAGCCAAACGACTGTGGCAAGACATAGAAACAACTTGGAGCAAACTTTCCAACAGCAAGATAGTAATCAACCCTGCTACCCTTTTCCTAGACAAAGAACAACTCTTCCTCTTTTCGCTAATCAAGAAGGGCACACTATGGGCAATCTGGAAAAGGAGAACTGCAGCAAACTTCAACGACACCAGCATCGAACCCGAGAACCCTCTGATCACCATCAAACAAATCGTCGAAACAGAAATATATGCTTTATCGAACAAAACAAAAAAAACAGTTTCAGGAAACACCAGATAAAAGAACGGAAATCATAAGGAAATTCATGACCACAAGGCTAGGCAACGGTAAACTAGGCTCAATTGAGAGAGATAGATTAGTCCTTAAGGATTGGCTAGTCATACCAGCTCAAGGTGATCACGAGCCGATAACCTCCCTAAGGACAACACCAACCCCTTCGCTAGACAACTCCAACACACTCCCCAATCAAGTAGCAGATCAGAGGATCTGAGTCCGAAGGGCAAATCTCAAGCCAAGCCCACAACAAGATCAGGACAACACGATAGGGTCTACACCAAGTGTTACATTCTGCGACTTCATACGGGCCTTCACAGACCCGACATTCCGGTTCAGGGGGTACCCAGGCCGGCCTCGCCAAAAGCCAGGCCTTTTTCCCCCGGTTGCCCCGGTAGGCCCTGTTAGGCCACCGGTTGGCACCTCAGCGCCTAGCAGACCAGGGTTGGCCCAAACGACATGACCATTTGGGCCTGGCGGCGCTCTTGAGGCTGCCGCCCGCCGGTCTGAGCTGAGCGGTCATTTCGATGGTTCAGCCCACAGCGCAGGAGGCCAGCAGCGAGGCCGACCGGCCGCCGGACGGTACTTAGGCCGGTCCAGCGGCCATTCCAGAGGTTGGAGCGGGAGCAGCCAGAGTAGCGCTGTGCTATTTCGGTTCAGCACAGCGCTAGGAACTGCAGGGCTAGTTTTAGCGCACTGCAGTCCAGGAGGAGCGAGGAGGAGCGAGGAGGAGCGAGGAGGACTCACCTGAGACAGTGGAGCGCCATAGCTCCAGCGATCTGCAGCAGGACTCCCGCCGCCGCCAAGACGCCAGCTTGCTATCTGCAGGTTCGGCCTGAGGTCCCTCACCAGCTCCCCCGATCTCTACCTCTCCTCTCCATCTCAGTCTTCTTCTTCTTCTTCTTCTTCTTCTTCTTCTTCTTCCTCTTCTTCTTCAGACTTCTTCTTCTTCTTCCTCTTCTTCTTCAGATTGGAGACTAAGATACGAGTTGGACAGAGATCAGTGTTTGGACTTCGGTAGTAGGAGGCCGTGACACTTACCTGGTTTCGAGACATTGGAGACATTGGGATTGATACCCAGTGGCATCACAGATCGGACATCGGTTACATTGGGATTCTGTACCTCCGACATTGGTGACTCATGTCCACGACATTCTGGTTTTGTTCGGTGACATTTTGGCTACCATGTCGGCGACCTTCTGGATTCTATCTCGGTGACATCTGGCGCTGTCCACATCTCCCACCTCCATCGTCTCTCCTCCCACCATTCATCTGTGTATGATTGTACGGGGCCTGAAGCATCGTCTATGCATGGCTTCAGACCCCACCATCCCACGATTCTTTGTGTGTTGAGTGATGTTGGGTGAGTTCGGTCTATGTGAGTCAGTCCACTTCTCAGACTTCCACTGCATACATGCTCATCCTATATTGGTTGATCTTTGGTTCTGCCAATACTTGGTGAAGTATTCACTAGTATGCAACACCAAGGCACCCCCCAACATAGAACCTCCCCCTAACAAATCCACCACCCCCTCATCCCCGGGGACACCCAGACAACCGAATAACCACTAAAAATATGGACACC